TTCAGGGACGTACTTTGTACGTGCATCTTTGTACGTACAAAGGGGTAAAAGTAGTTTTATGGTCCAAGTAATTTCGTAATAGTCCACTTCGTGCAAATACGAAACAAACGTGCATTTGTCGACAAAATTACATGCGCCACGAATGCGTCGTCGCTCGGCCGGAATACACGACCGGGGAATATTTGCCGGCGGTAACGTTTGTACGAATGTCGCATCGTCACGCGCGCCACCAAAGAATGCAATATCCCCGATTAATCCCGAGTAATATCATACGCGTGCAAGATAAAAGTAATAAGAACACGGTAAGAAGCGGTCAAATTGTACGCCGTAAAATTTGACCCCGCTCTGCGGGCTCCGGCGCGGAAATACGTTGCGAAAACCCCTCGAAAGCATTTATCCGTATTTCGGACGCGTCGTGGCGTGCGCGAGAAACGTTTTAGGAAGATGGAAGGACTCCGCCAAAGCAACGACGTGAGTTGCCCCTAAGAAGTTGCGATGTACTGCCGAGGGCCGCTACGATTTATTTAACTTTTTGTTCTTGCTGCTTCCTGCGCACGTCTCATCGCGCTCGAGCAAACTCCTTCTCGTCTCTCTCTTTCTCTCTTCCTCTTCTTCCTTCTCTCTCTTACTCTCTCGTCGTCGTCGTCGTCGTCATCATCGTCGTCGTCGTCGTCGTCGTCGTCGTCGTCTTTGCAGCTCGCGTCCACCTCCTCCACTTCGGCTATCAGTAAGGTTGATCTGCTTGGTTTACGTTATTCGAGGGCACGAATTCTGTGTTCTCCATTTGCAAAACGAAATGAGAGCGGGGAGAAAAAATAAATAACAAGGCTTATCAGAGTCGGTAATATATTTATAGAACTAAAGGATTGTTTTATGATTATTGAGGGGAGAAGATATAACAGTACGATGACTAAGAGGGGAAATTGAGAAGAATCAGATAAATGTTCGAACGTTACTATATGCAAATCGAGAGAATGATTTGTACGAAATTCTGGCGAAAGAAACCGGATAGAAGATACATGACAAAGGCGCGGTATGTCTTTGCTCCGTTTTGACGGGATTGTAATTAGAGGGTCAACGTGAAGATTAATGAGACATTTCGTAAAATAAACATTAATTTCACGCAAAAAGTTAATGTATTTTGCACGCGCGGAATGAAACAACAACAATAGCTCGGGCAGGTGTGCCGCGCGATAATTTAATATGAGGGGATTACGAATTTATTCCCGCACAAAAAGCCGTTTTTAATCTTTTTTAATTTCTCTTGCGATGAGAAAGACCGGCATGGAAGGAGGAAGAAGAAACACGCGATGACTGTGTGCCACGTCGGCAATGTCTTAATACTCCGTTATTCATGGTGGATTTTCTCGGGCCGCGAACAACGTGTACTCTTAATGCACTGTCATTTTCACCACACAGCTGGTATGACCGGTTAGCGAACGTTTCAGAGATATTCGTATGTCGTGGCATTTTTTGTGATTCTTGTTTTCGTTCGTGTTACTTACTTGGATGAGACCGCTCCCCAATAAGGGACTTTGGCTTTCAGATAAATGTACAGAGACTGTCCTGCAGGTTTACATGCGAAATATTGAAATGGGAAACCGGAATTTTTTATTATAAGCGGATTACCAATAATATCGAAAGAATGCTACTATGTGCCATTAGTTCGGGCTCTTGCATACACTAATGATTTTTGAAATTTTAATACATTAATATATCGTTTTTAATTTTTATCACACACATTTTACTATTGAACTTGTATTACCGAACGAGTGAGCGAGAGAAAGAGAGAGAGTAAGAGCTACATAATCATTCGAGTAGAGATTCGTAATGAAAGTTTGTTAAGGCAATTGTATTGTTAGATGCAATTGTGTTTTCAATAACGCATTAAAGATACTATACTCATATACATTTACTATTTATAAAACAAAATTACGTTTCTGCATATTCATTTCACTATCCAAATATCACTGTTAATTTAGAGCTAAATATATACGGACTGTCTGACGATAGCATATACTCATTTCGTGTACGTGTAGATTAGGTTAAACTGAACATAAAGTTGCTCTACTATTTTGCCGATAACCACGTAAAATTTTTAGTTATTAATTAAAGAGAACTGGCGAATGATCGATCGCGTATGATGCTGCGAATGGAGTGCTGTAGGAGCGGTGGCTAAACTTAAAAGTGTTAACTTTAGTTGCAAATGTTTCAGCTCTCGAATGGTCAATCTTTTTCTAATCGCTCGAACAGTCAGATAATACTGTTATAGAGCAAGTTTCATCAAATTCTCGAGAAACTCGTTTCACGAAGTAACTACCTTAAATTGGAAGGAGAAAGCAATCAGAAATTGGTTCTCTATTACAATTAGTTTTCTGAAACAGTTACATATGCGAGTTGTGGACGAAAAACAGGACGGGAAATGTGATAACGGCCACTCCGCTCGTTATTCATGTATATGAGAAGACGCGTTGCCGGCGAACACGAAGAATTGTTTTAGACTTCAGGTGGAAAACGCCAATGAAGGAACGCATTTAGGGATTATACGGCGCTATAATCTCGGGGACGAGTTAAGGGCTGATGGAGTTTACTTAATTTTATCACGACGCTCTGTGAGGATGCGGCCCCTTTCCCCCGGCATATCCTAGTCGGGGCTGACGCGCACGGTTCTTGAAAGCTTTTGAGCTCTTGCGCTAAAGTTCCTCCGTCTAGGCCACGCTATTTACCTTTATAAGAGACGACAAGGCGCCGCCTGTTCGACCCGAGACTTTCCTCCTTACAACGCACGAAAGAATAGAGAGAAACGAAATATCAGACGGCGAGGTAACGGCGGAAAAATGTAAACGCGCAGCACACAGAGAGAAGTCCTGACGAACTCGCCTTTCCCGCGCTTTCCCGCGAAGGACGGCAGAAACAACAACTGTGTCGAGATATCCCATGCGAAATAAGATCTCGAGCCAAGTAATATTTCGAGTGGAATCGCGTCGCGACGCGAGGTTCTCGTACACGATTGTTGCTCGAAAAAGAAAATGATCGGTCGGATGAATGGTTGGTTTAACAGACCAGATTAGTTATAGGGACTCGATTAGATGCCGATTAGATTTAATTGAGAGATCCTGCTCTTTCTTAAAGTGAATTAGAAAAAATGTTTTTAATTATATCAGTAAAAGAATGATTTCTCATCGATAATTATCGATTGTGAGTATTCTACTGATTTTCAGTAGAAATGCTGCCACTTCTCTTCTTCGTTTCATACGCCATTGCTTTTGATCGATGGAAGTAAAATTTCACTGAAAAATGTATAGATTGAGAGAAAAAAATGGTTAATCTAATTAAAATTATAATTATTTTTGGACTCAACTATATTTTTTATAGTAAAATAATAACAATAACATATACGTATTAGATTATTATCATTAACATTACAGTAGAATTTAATTTAAAAATTATTTTTTTGATCATAACTTATAATAATTCCTCTGTATGGTTACAGTTTATCAATACCAAACATTTTTTCTCAGTGTACAAATTCGTTGTGCACTTATCAAATCCAATTTTCGTGGCGATGAAATTAGCAGTGAGCATTACGTGCGGTGACACGTAATTTTACATCTGTTTGCGAACTGCATCAATAACGGGAACAGTTGCTACTACTAAAACAGTTACTACTAAAACTACCAAATCAACTGAAATCAGTTGTGTGCTAATCGATTTGAATGTTAGCTGACAAAATATAATCGGCAATTTAATAATCAAAATTAATCAATCGTCATATATGTAATCACATGAATAATTTAGTCGATCGATGAATTTAATTTGATCGATAATATATTGATTTATATTTAATTTCACTAGTCGATTAAATTATTCGTAACATGTATGACGATCGATTAATTTTGGTGATTGATTTGCCGCTTATTTTAGTTGATTAAAGTCTTAATCGATTAATGTCCAACATTAGTCAAAAGAACTGTATTGTAATTTCTTATAAAAATCATTCTTATTATTTCTTATATAAAAAGTACTTAAAACAATGATAAATATTCTAATTAAAATCTTATATTGATATCTTTATTCATTTCTTTGAAAAAATTCGTGAAAATCTGTTTCTCAGTTATCTAAATCAGAACTCCTCTCTACTGACGTTGAAGAAAACTAAAAAAAATATCAATATAATTTTCCTTTACATTACTATTTTCTCAAAAATACATTATTTTAACCGATTGTCGATAGTTATCCTCTCAGCGAGATTGTACTTTTGTGACTACAGTGTTATATTTATAACTGACCCACCGGTTTGTAAAAAAAAATATATATATACAGCATTTTTCGATAAAGAATATTCTGATTGTGCAAAACGAAATTAAATCAATTCCTATCTAAAGGAAAATTCTACTATATTTCGCGAGTGCGCGAGTACGCGCTACATTTCGCTTGCACTTCGCTTTACTTCGGAGTACAGACGTTACCTCCGGAATAATGAAAGCGGAAGCTTTACTTAGCTTAAGCGGGGCGTAATGGGCGAAGATACGATTATACGTTGAAGCGATTAGTATTACACGGCGTAATGCGTGAGAGGTGCGCGTCTAAATTCGCGAGATAAAGTCAATCGCACGAAATCGCAACGCCGTTCTGTGCTTATCGGGAAATTTGTGGTTTGCGGCCAACGACTCGCTATCAAAGTGAAATCTCTTTGAGCACTTTCTACGGCCCGATGCACTCGTTCGATAGTCGCGTGACAGATATAAACAATGGTGACAGATATAAACAATTCGATTCAGAACTGCTCGATAGATTCGGGTCTCGAGCACGTTGCTCAAGTGAGAATGTTCCAATTGACAAAATGGATTGTCGATACTATAATGGCGACGGATATAAGGGCGGCGTAAGCGTCGAATGAAACGCACAGATCGATTGAATAAAGTGTAATCAAGCGGATTGAATGATGTTAAGGGAGTACGAATTATAGAAAAGGCCGAGTGATTTGTGTTTGCTCGCAGGTGTGGAGACTCCTCCAATGAATGACTCGGTGCGTTTGGAGCCTGGTCCGCTGGTGAATGGCGCGGGTGCACTTTATGTCGCAGCTACTTGTGCGTGCGCCTTGATATTAGTCGTCGGCAGTGTCGCGACTGCGCTATATATTCGCAACAGCAAGGCCCGTGTCCAAGAATCACAGTAAGTAGAGTATTGTATATACTTTATTAATCCTCCATATATACACTGGGGTCTCTGGGACCCCAGCGCAACTTTCTCTTCTGTCGCGTTTTGAGACTGTGTCGCGTTTTTTAATCTTTTAACCCGTATATCTCGGAACTCCTTAATTCTATCGATTTTTATTCATTATAGGGTTGTTACTTAATCAATTCTCTATCGATTAAAAGAAGTGAATTGAAATATGTCAATTTTTAATAAAGTTACGATAACAAATATAGATGGGGTCCCCGGGACCCCAGTGTGTATAGTACGTAGACAAGATGTAAGTGTGTATACGGAGAGTTAAACAAACATTAAGCGTCGCGATGAACAGTGGTCACTTGGGCCACTTATTACATATTAAATTAATTTTAGAGATAGAGTTGACGTTTTTATGTTAAGTCAAGTTTTTATGTTATTCTGTGGCAATAGCAATAGCATATTATAGAATACTACGTTATTCTATGATGCTATTCTATGATGATAAAATGTGATAAGTAAATAAGAATTTAAAAAAATTAAGCAAAAAATTCAAAAGTATGCATGAAAATCATGTTGCAAGTAAAAAAAGAACAAAAACTTACAATAATTGATTTAATAAATTTAAATTAATTTTTTTTATACGTTCAATAGACATACGATGTTACTCAAGCATATGTAATGAGGGTGTGACTCTGTCAGGGTTAATCGTTGTTACTTGGAACTTGTCTCATGTGGCATATTCAAATTTGAATGTAGAGTTAGTCTTAAGTTCTTCAGTTAGATCGTATGATATGTGCGACGCTATACTTGCAAGCTTGATTCAACTAAAAATCTCACTTGAAGCTAGTTTCTGTAGTAATGACTATTAATTTAGGTCTTATTGTAATAATGTATTTTTATTTCACACCAGTGTTTGAAGAGTAGACTAGAGCATTGAAACTAAAGGATAAAAAAAGTGCAGGAATATATTTTTTGGTTTTTAAATAAGTAAATTCAATGGATGGGAAAAAGCTCCCTCAATTTTATGTTCGCGAATTCTCACCTTAATTTCGTTCTTATCGAGACAATTCGACGCGACGCGCATTGTTAGAAACGCGAAAAGGTAACGAACGATAATTATTTTGCTGAGACACGTTACCTGACAGGACGGAACCTCTTTCCGAGGGATGGTCCGTGGCTGAAAGAAACAAGACGGAGGACGCGTCGCGGCTCTTCGTTCTATCACTTATTAAATTCGCGTTTCAAAGGACCGCACCCCATCCTTGCGCCCGCGGCCGCTCGCAAAATAAATCGGTGCTCGTGGGAGAGATTTCCATTACGTAAAAGACGCCGTCATAAGGCGCGTCGTAAATGCGGCTTTTCACGTATCGCCGGGCGCGCTCTCATTTTCCGCGAGTCGCTCGAGTGAAAAGTCGCGAGCGCGTGTTCCGCGACGCCGCGAATTTTCTGTCGAGCACGACGATACGAGCCGTTATGGCGAGTCGGTCGTAGGACGGAGGAGGAGACGGAGGAGCGGATAGGGAAGGGCAGGAGGGAGGGTGACGGCAAGATTTCCGCACCCCCGCGGGAAATTCGCGGGGATAAGCTGGATAGGAGGAACTCGTCCGAATGAAATATCCTTTCAATAAGCCGCTGGTGATCCGTCGGCCGCTTGGCACGGCAGCCGACATTTTATTGCATAGCTATACGCACTCCCCCCTCGCCTCTCAACACCCTCCCCCGTATCCGGGGGTTACTCCTGCGGGAGAGAATGTAAGGAGGATGTTAGGGGTCGAGAGGATCCGCTTTTACCTCTCTTTCCATATCCGCACTCTCCTTTTTGTTCGCCGACGGCCTTTCACCAAGAGAAAGAGAAAGAAACAGAGACAGAGAGAGAGAGAGAGAGAGAGAGAGAGAGAGAGAGAGAGAGAGAAAGAGAACGCGCTCGCATAAGTTCAGCCTGAAGCGGACTCTCGCTGCAGCATCTTCTGAAATTAATATCGCGTTCATTCTTCGTGGAGAATACCGTCGATGCTGATTATTTACGTGTTGCCGCGACTTGTAAAGATCCTTCGTTTATTTCGCGCACAGGTCTTCTTTGCATTCGCCGTAAACTCAAAACGAGTAAATATGCTCCTTCATTCATCTTCTTGCATTTATAGTACGAATTCTTTCTAAGAAATTTTGATCTTCCTTTCGACTTCAATATTCCATTTAACGCATACTTTAAATAGCCTATATATATATATATATATATATATATATATATATATATATATATATATATATATATATATATATA